GCGTCGACACTTTTTCTCTTTTCACCGTTTAAACCACAAATTTGTCACAATTCTTCTCACGTTTTGTTTTTTTGATGTTTTTCTCTGTAAACTTGTTTTTAGATAAGTTCTGAGTTTTTGCACTTTAAACTATTTCAGCTTTAAATTTGAAGTATTTTCTTGAGTTTATATTTGATCAGTTTTTAACTTTTATTTTTTTCGTTTATAGTTTTCAGTCATGATTTCAGTGATGATGTCATAATTAGGACATTTTCTAATGATTCTCCGTTTTTATTGGTGTGGATGAGCTTCAGTGTGGGACACGTCACACATTTAACAAGAGGCAGAAAATCAAACACAATGATCGACTGTGGCGAGTCCCATAGTCGATACGGACCTTCGATGATTTCCTCAGAGATTTCAGAGTCATCAGAGTACGACGCAGCGCTCCCTGTGACCAGCTGTCCTTCAGAGACGTCAGACTCTCTTTCATCGTCCTCTTCCTCTCCGGCACCTTTGGACAAAACCTGAAAAAAGGTGGGGACAGGTGAGGACAGGTAGGGAATGCAGGTAAACCATTAATTATTGATTCCTTATAAGGTCAAACCTGTTTTTAAAGAGAGTTGGGGTGATGGTTTCTACCTGGAGTGTGTGTGTGCAGGTTACCTGTACAGGTGCTGCAGGTAGAGTCTCCGCCTCCCGGGCTGAGCTCGACGCGTCCAGCTGAAAGAAGGAAAAACAGAAAAACATCAAACTCCACGTGTTGTTTTATCCGATCTCCACCTGAGCCCTGAATGCACCTGCTGAGCTGCAGGTAAACTCCTCCCTCTCTGATCACCTGACAGAGGCAGTGCCTCTCACCTGTTGGTTGGCGGCTGTCCCTTCTACAAACGTGACTTTTTGGCAGGTGGCGTTCCCTTCACCTGAGTCTTCAGTCTTGGTTTGGGCAGCGGGGCCTGAAGGGGAAGCATCCAGAGAGGTGAGGGAAGAGCACACCTGGACCGAGTCACAGGTAACATCTGCTGAAGCCACAGGAAGGCCACAGCCTTCAGGAGGAACAGGCTCCTCAGGGAATTATGGGAATCGCTCGATTGTTGTGTTTAAATTCGCAGAAAAGGAGAAAAAATCGAAAACATTTTCAGGCCATTATTAAATTTATCATTTATGTTTGGGTCATCTGGATGACCTGACCTGAGATTCGGCGCGATGGCGGCGGGCCTCCTTGCCCTCCGGCTGTTGTTTGGCCTCTGACGCTTCCTCCACAGGAGTAAACCTGGGCTCGTCCTCCATGGCGTCCACCGGTGGATGTAGGAGACCTTCCACTTCAGAGTCACTTCGATGTTCCCGGCGGGGAGTCCAGAGGATCGGCCAGCGAAAACACACCTGAGGGAGCAGAGCAGGTTACACGTGCTCACTCACATCTGATCGAGCTGATCCTGAAACATTTCCTCAGACAGCAGCAGTGTGAGGCGTTTGGTTAACTTTAGATTTAAGAAGTTTAAACCATTAAAACACTTTTCGATGTTTTATCGAAAAGCCTGGAGCCTTCATCAGGAGCTAAAAATGAAAACATTTCCTGTCCAGTTTATTTAAAACCAGTGTAAAGTGTGTATGCCCATGTTCAGGTAATGACGGTGAGAAAGAACCCCATTTTAACAGGTCACGCTGCAGCTGAACACTGAAGCTGCACCTGCAGGCGAACAGTGTGCTACAAACACCTGACTCACCTGTGAGGCTCTCGTCGTGGGTCAGCGTCCTCAGAGGACTTGGGCCTTCCCCAGGTACATGTCCATCTGCTCCTCTTTGTAGTCGAACACGTAGAATTGAAGGAGCTCCGACTTCAGGTACCGGTCCAGGTCCGCATCCATCGAGACGGAGTACGACCTGAGGTCATGGAAGTCGGGGTCCTGGCGGTTGTGAACGGTGGCGGTGGGGTGGTCGGGGAAGTGAAAGAACTTGTAGACGACATAGGGGCTCGGCTGCCAGGAGCCTCGCGGCTGAAGGCCGGAGCAGCGGCGGACGGTGATGAAGAGCTCGTTCCAGTCGCCGGTCGTTGGCGGAGGCTGAGGAGAAACGACACGAGTGAGAACCTTCACCTGCTCAGGTGTGTGTACACCATGGGTGTATCCTCCTGCTCGTGTATCTGAGTGATGACGGGTGATGATGAAGCTCACCGCCTTCATCTTCTCTCGGTACAGTCGCAGCGTCTCCGTCATGGGCACCCTCAGCCTGAGCCAGAACTCCAAGGAGCCGAAGCAGCGCGCCTCATCACGCGACCCTGAAAGAGGTTTGCACACGAGCGTTCATCTGACGACGCGTTTTCATCGAGCATCACCGACAGTCGCCGAGTCTACCGTCATCGTCAAGTACAGCCGCCAGCCCGCAGACCGCGTGGATCCGGCCGTCACTGAGCTGGCTCGCGGGTCACACGGCCCCTCATGACACACAGGAAGGTAAATATCCAAGGTTGTGTCCTCGGCCCTACTCTCACCTTGTACATATTTGAGCTTAGAGCGGACATGAGGCGCTCCCCTTATAAAGGCTAATTTACATTAGATGTAACGTCATGTGGTTGGTTGCAGCTAACAGACTCACATTAGTTTATGTTAAGTCTGCTAGCCACAACCAACCAAACTCATGACGTCATGTTCCGTACTGACAGCAGATGGCGCTAAACATCTTTTTAAAGAAGCGTCTCTTCTTCCTCAGACCTCCACCTCCCTCTGAAGGTGGAGGAACAGCATCGGGATAGACGAGCTCTCCAAAGAGCGGTGCGCTCTGCTGGATGCACCGCTCGCTCAGAGCTCCCTGACCTGCAGTGTGTCCACACCGAGTGATGCTGGACTGGACTCTCTACACTGCTCATGCACTTAATAACAAAATAATGTACTTTAGTGATGCACCCGGTAACGGTTGTTCACTGCTCGCTGTCGGTCTGCACCTGTTCAGTGTTGTTCTTGTGTCTGTGTGTGTCTGTGTGTGTCTGTGTGTGTCTGTGTGTGTGACAAATGAAACATGGACTCTGTCAGTGAGCCTGAGCCTTTACACGAGCAGCTCTTTGGCTGTCTCTCAGTCTGTGCTTATGTCAGTCTCTCCCTCCCCCCACAGACCAATGACTCACCGACGAGCGCCACGCTGCCGTGAACCTTCCCGTCCTGTTCCAGCAGCTGCTGCAGATGAAGCTCGCCAGCCGCCAGCGTCCTCCAGTCCAGACCGAGCGCTTCGTGCAGCTCCACCCTCACCGCGCCCCGGTGGAGGTAGTCGAGGAAGCGTTCGTCCACGCTAACCACGTACTTAGAAGTAAAGTTGTATTTTGGACTGTGGCCCGTCACCACCGGTGTGGCGTGCAGCTCGAACACGTAGAAGGCGTACGTACAGAAGGTGGCGGGCTCAGCTTCGCCCAGCATCTGCAGGGCAGAGCCAGACAGCGTGACGCCTACTATCTGAAGCTCCAGCAGGTTTTCTCCACTCTCCAGGTGAAGCGCTTCGCCAGATTCGTCGGCCTCGTCCTCGGCTGTGGCGTCCGCTTTGACGCTGTAGGTTTTGGTCCCGTAGGCGATGTCTCTGAGCTGAGCTGCGGAGCAGAGAAACCTCATCATCAACGGTTCATTTATTCTTTAAACTGAACATCAGCAGGAGAACTGGATGGATGCTTGGGTGGCGGGAACCTTCCAGTTTCCTGATCTTCGTTGCCCTGGCGTCCAGCAGCTGAGCCTGGCGTTCTAGCTTCTGCTCGTACTCGAGTTTGTCGGCGTCCATCTTGCGTAGCGCGGCGTCCAGCTCGGCCTGCGGCCACAAGAAAGGAAATAGATTCTGCTCAGCACAACAAACGTGATCAGGTTCCACTCTGACCCCTCCCCTTGCTGCTTTGCATACAGTAAGAATAAAGTGGCGGGTGTGTTTGCTCCACCTTGTAGCCTTGGCTGATCCGGCTCTCCGTGCTCAGGAGGCTCCGGGTCTTTTCCAGCTCCTGGATGGTTTCGGCGTGAGCGGCTCGCAGCTCCTTAATGGCGTTTTCCATGCTGGTGCCGCCCGTTTCCTCCTCCGCCTCCCTCAGGAAGTCCAGATCTCCACTCCTCTGGGATTTACGTGTCTGATAGACGATGATGTTACAGACAAAAGGCGAGACGTGAGACTGAATCTGGGCTGTGTATGATCGCAGTAACGACGGCAGCGGCGTGTGACGGGCACTCACTTTGACGAGCAGCAGCGCCTCGGTGAGTTCGGCCACGTCGTAGTCGCTCCCCTGTGAAGAGCACGGTGATGTCACACACACCAAACCTGCAGCAGGCGAGAGGATTTGATTCATCTGCTCACCCGACTGTAAAACTTGAGCTGCTCGTTCAGTTCCTCCAGCTGCTGCTTCTGCTGCAGGAACTGCACCTCCAGCTTCTGATTTGCTTCTTTCAGCTTCTTGTTTGTGTCTGAAAACAATCAGAGGGAGGAAATCGGTTGCCACGTTCACCCTCGGCGCTCTCACGGGACACGGAGCGGTCTTAATGGGCAGGTAGGGGGCGTACCCGTACCTCTCTCGGCCTTGACTTTGTCGAGGATCTCGTTTTTGTCGACGAGGTCGGCCTTGAGCGCCGTCTCCAGCTGAGAGATCTGAAGCTTCAGCCGCTGCTCCTGAAGCTGCCATTTCTCCTGCTGAGAGACGTCAAAGGCGCTGCAACGAAAGGAGGAGGTGACGGAGGTCAACCTGGGCCAGGTAAGACTGAAACGTTCATGGACAAACGGCCCTCACAGCGCCGCGGCGTGTCTTCGCCTCCTTCTGCTCACCTGTTCAGCAGCTTCTCGTTGCTGTCCTTCAGCAGGTCTCTGTCCTGCTCCAGCTCGCCGATCCTCTCCTGCAGCTGAACGCACACACAGGCAGGTGAGCCACCACACCTGCACAGCAGCACACCCCTACAGCGGACTCGGGCTCACCTGCTCCATCCTCGTCCTGGAGACGCTGGCACTCTGCAGCTGCTTCTCCAGCTCCAAGCGCTTCAGCCGCTCGTTTTTCAGATCCGCCGACAGCTCGTCCACCTTCGCCATCGCCGCTTCATGACTGAGCTTAAGCGTCTGCTGACTCTGCAAAACAAACGCCGCCGCTGTTAGCTCGCTCTGTGTACACACCTGACACCTGGTCTTGTTGATCTCGTCAGGCCAGCTGTGTCTGCAGATGTGTGTCAGTGCCATAAGGTGGAATTATAAACGGGAGGTTAGTCACATGATCTTTGAGCTCATCATATCCAGCTCTGGTGTTTCGTCCTACTCATCTGCATGATTCACAGTTTAAAACAATGCTGTGCACTGAATCAAGCCCCTCCCCTCTTAAGAAATCTTTCTCCTGATTGGCTGCAGAGGATTTGATTGCGCTTGAAGTCACAGCGTTGCATAGAAAAGTGCGATAATTTGTTCTCTCACAGACAGAGAAGATCAGTAGTGATTACTGGATGTTGATCTTGGTGCTGCAGGGTTTCAGGTGGGGGAGGAAGAGGAGGAGGCAGGAAACGTCTCACCTCCTGCAGCTGCAGATATCGCCCCTCCAGCTCAGCCACGGTGTTGGATCTCACCGCCAGCTGCTTCTGCAGTTTGATCAGCGTCACGTTGCTGTTGACGTGCGTCCTGACAGGAAAAAACAAAGATTCATCCACAACCTCGACCTCAGCTTTGAGTGAAGAGGTGACCACAGAAAGCGATTATTGTGAATGACGGACGCCTCGCCACAGCACGAGCTCATCTTCTGCCTGATACGGTGAAAGCTGTTGGACTGAAACCGTGAGAAACAGGTTCTGGTGCTCCCCTCCAACAAAAACCTGAGACCAAAATATTCTCACTGGTTTATTTAGATGGATTTTCATTTACTCAAACATAAACGACATTTTTGATGAAATAACAGGAAACATCAGAACGAGGC